TAAATAAATAAATAAATAAATAAATAAAGTGGGAGTGAAACAGACAAACTGAGTCAGTCTTAGCAGGTTAACAAACATAACAGAAAATTAGGAGTTAAACAGTATGGTAGTCTCTAATGCTAAGTTAACACATCAGGAGACAGGAGTTTGAGAAGTCAGTTCAGCATTCTGAGGCTATGAAGTAATCAGAAAAACCAAAAAGCCAGAGGCAAAGACCAGGTCATTAATATAAAACCAACTGAGAGAGGCCACAAGTTGGCCCTGTTCTGATAATAATACTAGAGACTCCCCAAGATGAGGTGTCACATGTTTTTGAACTAAGGGGTAAATGCATGAATAGAAAAGTTAAGATGGTAACTTCTTGGTTTATATATATTTGTAGATGAACACAATAAAGATTTTTTTTTTGTTTTTATATGTGGTGCAGGGGACTGAACGCAGCACTTTACTCATGTTAGGCAAGCACTCTACCACTGAGCCACACAACCCTAGCCAAAAGATGATAACATATTTTTTCTTTTGCTTTATTAACATAGTCACCATTCCACAATGTAGGTACTTAATATGGTAATGAGACTCGTTGCAAGAAAAAACACAATGGAGAGAAGATCACAGGCACAACTAAAATAAAACAGAGTGAGAAATAGACACACCCTATCAGCCCAAATGGATGTTTGACAATGGTGAAAACAGGATGATCAGAGGGAGGACAGACTTTCTAAAGATGGTACTGAAACAACTGGAAAGCCACAGGCCAACCAAACAAGACAACAAAGAGAAATGAACTCTCACCATGTTTTACAATGAGCATGACTCAGATCATAGGTTTTTAGGTAAATTGTAAAGTCTATAACTTTTAGGAGAGAAATTAGAACAACATAGAAATCAGAGGCAAAAGTTTTCATGTATTAGCCTCCCCCATAAAAGACAATGTTTGCTCTTATGGAGACCCTGTTAACAGGAAAAGACAAGTGATCCATCAGCACTTGAAAAAACTAGCAAGAGGGAGCCTTGGGGAACACTGAATCATAATAAAGCTGATGATTATATAGATTTATCCACAGCAGCAACTTTGCCCAAATGTACATAGGCACACATGTACATGGGCACATAAAACTGGTGAAATTTAAATAAGTTCTGTGGATTGTATTGATTTCAATTTCTGGTTACTCTAGTAACAGGAATAGACTACATTCAGAGATAAGTAATATGGTATTCAAACTATGTCAATTGGGAAAAACAGAAGAAAAGTTATATGAAACCTTCCTGAACAATTTTGGAGCAAATTTCTGTGAAGCTGAGATTACTCCAAGACACAAATTTAATCAATAAATATTTGTATTTTTTTAAAATGACCTGAACATTCACTTCACAGAAAATGACATACACTCAATCAACAAATATATGAAAAACTATTCATCATCTCTATCAATTAGAGAAATGCAAATAAAAACCACTATCAAGTCACTCCAGTCAGAATGGCAATTATTATGAAGATAAACCACAATGAATGTTGGCGAGCATAGGGAGAAAAAGGCACAGTCATACATTGTTTGTGGGATTGCAAATTGGTGCAGCCAATATGGTATGTAGTATGAAGATTTCTTGGAAATCTGGAAATGGAACCATCATTTGACCCAGCTATCCCTCCCCTTGGTTTATACCCAAAGGACTTAAAATCAGCATACTACAGGGACACAGCCACATCAGTGTTTTATAGCAGCACAATTCACAATAGCAAAACTGTGGAACCAACCTAGATGCTCTTCAGTGGGTGAATGGATAAAAAGGGGAGTGGGAAATATATACCCAATGAAATTTTACTCCACAATAAAAGAGAATGCAATCATGGCGTTTGTAGGTAAATGGAAGGCATTAGAGAAGATAATGCTATGTGAAGTTAGCCAATCCCAAAAAAAACAAATGCCGAATATTTTCTCTGATATAAGAAAGCTGATTCATAGTGGGTTGTGGAGGGGGAGAATGGGAGGAATGGATGAACTCTAGATAGAGCAGAGGGGTTGGAGGGAAAGAAAAGGGGTGGGGGTTAGCAAAAATGATGGAATGTGATACACATCATTATCCAAAGTACATGTGTGAAGACATGAATTGGTGTCGACATACTTTATATACAACCATAGATATGAAAACTTGTGTTATATATGTGTGATAAGAATTGTAATGCATTCTGCTGTCATTTATTTTTTAAAAATCAATTAAAAAAAGAAAAAAGAAATTTATAAAACTGAATGCTTACCGGTAGATTTGTAAAAACAGAATAATATTCTTTCACCAGCACTGTTTTGATCATCTCTGGATCCGTAATAACCAACACAGGCTGTTGACCATCATACAATCTGTGTTTGGAAAGAAGAGCTCATTAAACCTACTAAGCCATATTCTTCAGTTAGAGCAACACCCAGGAATCCAAACTGATATTCCATAATCCATATGCCTGACTGTAGAATGCACAGTGACACTAGATACAAGTTCAAGGTAGGTGATGACACACGAGATTCTGGCCATATAAAATGAAAGTCATGTAACTGAAACAGGGAAGAGATATTTAAAGATGAAAAAAATTCATTCTTAGAAGAGCCTGATTGGAGATGTCTAAATGGTGCATACATGTTTTCTCATTCTCCAGTAATTTTGTATTTAAAAATATTTCATAATCAGTGCAATTTTAATCTGCACTTCTCTAGTTGTAAGATATGTTGAACATTTTTTCATATATTCATTGATAATTTGTATTTCTTCTTTTGAGAAGGGTCTGCTCAGTTCTTTTGCCCATTTATTGATTGGGTTATTTGGGTTTTTTGGTGTTAAGCTTATTAGGTTGTTTGTATATTGTGAATATTAACACCATAAATAAAGTACAGGGGGCAAAGATTTTATCCACTTCTGAAGGTTCTCTTTTTATGCTTTAATTGTTTCTTCTGATGTGGAAGTATATTGAATTAGAGAAAAATAGACAAGTAAATTATTAAGTTCTTACAAGTGCTTAAGATACAAGAGATGGCTGGGGTTGTATCAGTGGGGACTCAGCCCTGTGTGCTCTTTCCATTCAACAACATGGCCTTTATGAGCCATGCCAGTTAGGTAGGATGATGTGGCCAGCTCTGCTGTTTTGAGGACTTGATGAGAGAAGATGAAGAGGGAGGAAGACGCAAAGCCTTCTCCCACTTGCTTATACTACACAAGAACTACAATAATACCTCTGGAGCTGCTTTCACCAAGCATTATTAAGAAAATGGCTACTGAAATTAGCTGATTTCACTATAGCAGATTATGAAGTACATAAGCCCATGGGAACACAGTGGTTTAAAATGTACTGGCCATCCATTCTTCAAAGTCAGTAGAATGAGGTAGGCAGAGAAATCCCTGTGTACACTTGTAGTGAAAACCCCTAATTGACAGGGAAAAACAAATGAAATCCCCAAGATTTTACACTTACAGAAAAAGATAAAATAAAAGAAAGCAGAGGTCAAATCATTTCCCAATCTGTTCATCTCTTTCTCAGCTTTTCTTTCAAATGTACATAATAACCCCCAAATTTATATAAAGGTCACTTTTATTCAATGTGGCAATCTTGAAAGGAGATCAAGCCATGCATGGTGTACATTTTAGGAATGTCTGACTTAATACCTCCTATGCAGTATTAAAGGTTCCTAATGAAGAAAAAATGGGAAAGAAAGTAGAGGCTGGGCACTGGAGAGAAGGTGAGGCCAAGAGTTTTTGGGTTATCAGAGATTGAGAAAAGTCAAAAGTATGACATTCTTGGCCATGAACCTTGACACCTGGTGAAATATGGGACCCTTGGCAGGAGGAGAAGCCTCTAAAAGCTTTATGATAATTAATTACCAGTAATAGCTCTGGGCTGGCATTGTCTTCTTGCCCTGGAGTGCCTCATCAAAGAAGTCTACCCAAGAGACATTTCCAAAATACTCACCCCCACATTTTCCCATACTTTTCATGACATTGGATGTCATATTGCCAAAAACCCTGGGAGGAGAAACAAGAGAATATATAGTGTTATTTTTAAAATATCGAACTCTGCTTCTAATTCAGGAACCAATGATTAGAATCCCTTGAAATCAGACTGGAATATGGTCCATCACTGGCAGTTAGAGGGAAGCTCTTATTCTAAGACATCCAAAGGCAAAGAAGAGAAAATAAATGGGATATTAGTGTTGAGAGCCGCAGTTTAGTCAGAAAGATACCTGGCATTTTGCTAGAGGGAATGGTTAAAAGATGACCCTGCTCTGGGATTAGGGCGGATCTGGGATTATGGCAGATCCTACTGCCTCTGGCGCTTGCTACTTTGGAGTTCCCCTTGAGTTCCCACAGGGTTCAGAGAGAATTGGACACCTGGAGCCCTGTGGAGGGAGTGTGTTCCTGGGAAGTGTGTGTAGAGTGCTGGTGAGAGTTCGGGAATAAAGATTTGCTGTTTGAACCTACAAGGCTTTGTGGCGGCTCCGTTAATTTGTGCCCAGCCAGACTGTGGCACATTAGAAAGGGGAATTTAGAGTTCATCTTGAATTTTCTTGAAGTATTGTACATATTAAAGAAATTATTCTTTTTTTTTTGACAAGGTATTGCCATGTTTTCTATAATGACCTTGAATTTATGATACTCCTGCCTCAGCCTCCAGAGTGGTTGAGACTACAGGTGTGTGCCACAGTTTCACTAGTTGTCCTTGAGTATGAATATGAAGCAATTCTAGTTTTCTGTATCATTTTCTCATGTGCATGGACTGTTTCTGAAATCCTGCCAACTTTGAATCATTCCCTCCACCTGGATGTGAAAAAATCAAAGCTGAGAGGAAAGTGAGTGAGTTTCCCAGGAACATTTGCAAGAACACTTCACTCATTTTTTCCCCAGATTTTTTTCATTTCTCTCATGAATCTCCCTAGAATACTGGGGAAATTAGGAAATTCAAGGCACCAATGACCTCTAAGTTGACCATGTTGATGTGATTAGTTTAGCTGGCTATTTCACTACTGTGACCCTGACAACAACCATATAGGAAACTAAGATTTACTGGGCTCACAGTTTCAGAGGTCTCAGTTCATACATGGCTTCCTCTGTTGCCATGGTCTGTGGTGAGGCAGAATAACATGGCAGAAGAGTGTGACAGAAAAAAGCAGTTCAGGACATAGCTCCAGGAAGCAGACAGAAACTTAACTAACCAGGGACAAAATGTATGCCCTGAAGCCAGGCCCCCAGTGACCCACCTCTTCCACCAATATTCTAACTGCCTCCAGTTGCCTCCAGTTAATCCTTACTGAGGAAATAGTGTACCGAGTAGATTAAGTCTTTCACAATTCAACACTTTATTTCTGAACTTTCTTGCAATGCCTTACACATGAGCTGCTGAGGGACACCACGACCATAACAGTGATTCTCATGTATGTTGTGGAGTGAGAAAGACTAAGTAAGGATTGACAAAATGGAGTCACCTTCCAGTTTTCCAGCTAAAGGTGGAAAAGATGGAGAGATGCCACTCCTACCCATGGGAGTCAACAAATTAAGTACTTGCTCTAAATTTTTGCTTCTAACACTTAAAAAGAAATTTTCCTATTGCTATGTTTCAAGGATGATGTTTTCATGATGCACAGGGAGACCCCAATTATGTGGATCTTACAGTCTATCTAGTATACTGTTGATCTGGAAATCGTGAATAGGAAATAATGCCTTTTCAGCAGGAAGAGCAGAATGGAATTCTCAGGGGATCAGGGGGGTCTATTATTCTCAGGGGGGTCTATAATCCTGCTCAGAATTATAGAATTAGAGTACGATAAACAAGCCTCAGTGTTTGGAAGAAATAATCTGAGCAGAGTGTAGCCTTTTTTTATGGCCTCTGGTTTTGAGTTCATGAATTTCTGTCAGTAGGCAGTCCCTGAGTCAGATTCTAAATGAGTTAATGACAAAGGCTTGATAAAAATTCACATTTCTTGTGTAACATGTTACATTCCATTCAGTTAACTTAAATTTTAATTTTTGAAATCATGTGATTACTGCTCATTTTATATGTGATACTGCCTTTGTTAAAAAACAATACATCTTTTGTTTAATTATGTGAAATCCATAGACAAAGGCTACCTTATCTCATTCATACTTATTTGTTGCTAAGACTCACTGCTAGGGTGCTATCTTTGAATGATAACAAGAAATACATAATGCTGTCGTTTCATCTCTTAAATCCTCCAAATATGTCACAGGAAGTAAAACTTGGGTGAAGCCATGGAAATAACCACAGGGTATTTGCACATTCAAAAATTAACTATGTGCAAATTGTCAACTTATGAATGCTTGGGGTACTTTAGAAACTGTAGTTTCATTTTTTATTTACAACGGGACTCATGAGACCTTGCAAAGAATAGGAATGTTTGAAGGTGTTTACCATGCCCTCTTTCACAGACTTTTTGCTCAAATACTAAGCACAATATAATCTTCCTGGAAATATGCACCCAGCAAGTTAAACATATTTTTTATGATGAATTCAAAGTCTGAACAACATCATGAAGATCAAATGCAGATGTACCAGAGATCCGAGTTGTTCTACTGAGGCTCTTGAAGAGTTGACTTCAGAGCTCCAGGGAAAACCTAGCCATTCTCCAGAAGGGGCCTGAACATTGTTTCTCAAAGGATAAAAACTACTAAATTTATCCTGAAGATGGGCATTTTTACTGATGGCACTAAACTGGCATTTGTACTCAGGAGAAAAAATAGAGGGAGCTCAAGCACACTCACCTTGCGGTAGTACAGAAGAGTTCCAAATAAAGGCAGAGGTGTTGGCCCAGGTATTCCCAGCTTCTTAAATAGCCCATGAGAATAGGTTCCATATCTACAAAGTGAAATAGAAAGCCAGGTAACCCTGATTGTCATTCTATAGATAAGAGCCTGACCAGTCTCTGACTCAGAAACTGGACCAGGCAGTGAAATAGGTAACATGTAGGTGATACATAACAACAAAAACTCTAATGGCACATTCTGTTTTCCAACACCACTTAGAGATAACTTCCTGTCACAAGAGGCACAATGATTAGGTAAAACAACTTGAGTCTTCATAGCCCCAATAATTGGGTTTGTTCTTAATAAACATTCCCAGCATTGAATATGCCTGAGAAGTTCAGGCTGGCATTCTGCCAGGGCATCACAGTTGCTATGGGTATTTGGTATGTTAACCTTTTCTTAACCTAGAGATTCCTAGTAAAAAAAGGGCCAATGCTTTGACATGACTTTTATTATGAGATTTTTGGTAACCAAATCCTTTCAATCACAGAGTATCCACTGAGAACCTATGGTAACATTTTTTCTTGCAATTTGGACATAAACCTTTCATACTTTTCTTTCTTTCTATGCCATGTCTCTGGTTCAGCATTCAGCCCTTCTTTAAATTTAACTTTACATGGATATTTGGAAGCAGTCATAGTATTCTTATTTCTGTTGAATGACAAATGTGACATTTAAGAAAACTGGAACTTCCACTGGCTTCATACCAATGTGAGCCATGTTGAGTGTCACCCAAGTCCATTGTCAGACAATCTAAGTGACTTGAGCAAGAAGGAAGGCTGAGTTCCCTTATACTCTTACTGCTTCTGTGAGGAACAAATGACTGAGGAATCATCTCCAGGCCATTCCTCCTCTCATTGAGTATGATCCTCCAACTGGTGATGCTCAGATGGCAGCACAGAGTCAGGTGTGCTTATGTTTACCAAGGAAGTCAATCACAAAACAGTTTTGTTTATTGCCTCTGCACATCAACTCTCCTTGTATGAAAACCCACAAAGGCTGGTGCTTCCTTGGGCTGGCCAACCTGCAACACAGATGTGTCATGTTCACAGCCCCATGCCTGGGGGTTCTGGATCCTAAAATCTTTGCCCCCATCAGCATTGATAATAGATGAAAGACTAGATAAAGAAAAAATGGTGAATAAGAGATTCCTGGCAGCTACTTCAATCATGAAACAACCAGTTTTGCAAAGATTGCCCCATAGTAACACAGAGGTGAAAAGTGTGTCATGTTTAAATAGCTCAACATGCCCAGCAATTCCTTTTAGCTACATGGAAGGTGACCTTACAAATTTCAGTTACAGTCCTGATGACACAGCAGATAATATGCAACATAAAGTAAGAACCCATAATGTGTTTCAGACAGTTGAATAAGAACTTTCTGCTTCTTCTTTGGAGGAGAATGTTTAAGGCAGTATAGTTTTCACATACTCTGTACAAATCCTGTCATTACATACAGTAAAATTAAACTACATTGATTCACTAGAAAATTTCTACAGAGAGAGGATTATGTTGCCACAATACCCCTGAATTAGTACCTTTTCTTTCAGAGAATAAAAGCCAGATCTATATTTTCATTTTTCATGCTATTTTGATTCCTTATTTTAAGAGTGAAATTGAGGCAAATGTCAAATGTGACCTGTGTGGAATCTCTCCTACTACAATCAAAATAACCTCTTTCCCTCTGTTTCATGATGTTATTAGTAAAAGCAATTTTCCTACTAGATGATATTTATTCATGCATTCATGTTGGAGTGTAGAGGGAAAAAAATAAAGCAAAATTGGCTTTGTGATGTTGTTCAGGCCGCTAGAAGATTTCATATTGAGACAAAATAAGTCCCTTTATGATGCTAATATCTCAGAGAGATGAAAATAAACAAAAGGAAAGAATAAAACTTCTTAAAATTTCTGTCAGGTATTCTCTGTTCTAGACACTTATCATTTGGAAGGAAAAAGTTCTGTGAATTTCAGGGTGAAATAATTGAGTTTTACAAGGGAGGGAAGTGCTAGGAGAAAAAAAAGAGGGAATTGTGCAGTCAACCTTCCAGGGAGTCTGAGGGGAAATTGGTGTGTTGTACAGAGGGTGCTGGGGGCAAGAAGGGGCAGGAGTCACCACATGCACAGGGAATAGTCCTCTTGTATGTCTTCTGCAATAGGCAGAAATCCAAGAAGACAAAGAGACAAAATCCAAGTAAACTGGTTTTCCCCAGAATTCCCTAAGCTTGAAAGGGAGTGAGGTTCCCACTGCATGTAATAATAGTTATTAATTATCTGTATATCCTGAATTCTGATTTATTCCTCTAGGGTCAAACGCAGAGCCAATCAGATAACCCCTCAGAAACAAATCTCAACACCAATTGGCCTATCCACAGGAACTCACTATTTTTCTTTAGCAGTTCTGTCTTCTGAATTGTTTTTTCTACTGTGTGGGATTTTTTAGACAAAATGTGTCAAGTTGTAATTCAGTGAGGCCAATTTATGTGCTAGAAAAGGAGATGGGGCTAGGCATGCTCAATAGGAACTTTTTAAGTGTTTATAGAAATTTCAATTCCATGATCTCTTTGGATTTTTCAAATAGACAAGGGAAAGAGGAATATGATTAGGTCCCCACCTCTAGGGTTATAGAGGAGAGGAGGCTGGACAGCTACTCACAGATATAGGAGCACCAGACAGATAGCCAGGAGGACCCAGGTCTCTATGGAAGAATTGGGAATCAGGTCCATCACCACTTTTCTTCAGCAGTTCTGTCTTCTGAATTGTTTTTTTCTGCTATGTGGGCTTTTTTGCCAAAATGTGTCAAGCTGCAATTCAGTGAGGCCAATTTATGTGCTAGGAAAGGAGGTGGGGCCAGGCATGCAGCCAGTGGAAAGGCCACCTATGCATCTCCTGGAATTGGAGGGGTCAGGTGTCCTCTTTGCAGTTGGCAAAGAATCATGCACTCTCCTCCTTTGATCTTTTAAACCATTGACTTAAACTTCCTTTGGTAATTTCATTAACTTTGAGGCCAGCAGCTGTCCAATAGGTAACTAAAAGAATAATAAATCTTGGTATTCTGCTTCATTAGGTATCCTTTACTAACCTAATATTTGTGACTACACAGCTTTGTACAAGACATGTTAATCATTTAAGGAGTGTTTATCTAAAACCTAGCAAAATAAGAATGTTTAGTCCCAAATATACCTAATCTCATACCACCTTGGAGATTGAGGCAAGATTGAATGGACATTTTATTGTCAGATTTGGGGGTTTTGTTTTGTTTTGTTTGTTTGTTTGGTGCTGAGGATGGAACCCAGGGCCTTGTGCATGCAAGACAAGCACTCTACCAACTGAGCTCTAGCCCCAGCCCTGATCCTCAGCTTTTACAGTAGCTTTTCTTCAGAGCCCCAGAGTGGTGCCTAGAATTTCTCATTCATTTTTTAATTCCCTCCAGGAATGGCAGAGCCTTGTATACAGATCACTATGAGGAGAGTGTTCCCTCAACAAACGGAATCATATCATGACATCTACATTGCCTTTCTAGTATCCAAGTTCTGGTAGATGAACATCCTGATAAGTAAGTAAAAATTTACCCCTTTCAAGTGATTAGGACTTCTCAGGTGCTAGGTCACAGTGCTAGAACTGAGATAGTGATCCATGAGACTACAGTTTGGGCAAGATTGGTTAACAATGCTTACTTCTTCCCCACTGCCCTAATTCTTATTCTATTAAATCCTTCAGGTCAGGTCAGCACCCTGAAGACATGCCTAAAAATATGTCTTCCTGGGGTGGCTACAATGATTAAAGTTCTTTACTTGCATTATACAATTACCCTTTGGGTTTGATTTTTGGGGTGAGTAGCAAGATCTAGATTTTGCATCTGGCCTGGAATTTCTGTAGTATGCTTAGTTCATATTTGGTGGAAAAAATCAATATATCACTGTGTTGTCAATAATGTCAATGTTATTTAATATTTGATATTTGAACTCAAGCAAAGTCATTAGCATTTAATTTTCTTATGTGTTCATGGCACCATAGCTGCTGACATGAGAATACATGAGACCTTCATCAAAACAAGCTACATCCATAAATCTTTGGCTATACAGGTTCCTGCACCTAGAATGTTTTTGTGCCTCACAAATCACTTCAGCTTACCCTTTAAAACCCAGCTCCACCAGCACCTATTTTGGTATAGTCTTTCCTAATTTATCTTGAGCAGTAGGACAACTTATTCCTTGCTGTGATCTCCAAGACTCTGGAAGCTGAGGAAGGAGGATTGCAAGTTTAAAACCAGTCTCAGAAATTAATTGAGGTTCTATGACACTTAGATAGACGCTCTCTCAAAATAAAATATAAAAAGGGAAGGATAATAGAATGAATCAGACAGTATTACTTTATGTGCATATATGATTACACAATCCAGGTAAATCTACATCATGTACAACCAAGAGATTCATTCTACTATGCTTCCTTCTCATAAACCCACTTTGTTCCCTTCACATACTTCTACTTATTCATGTCAACACCCCGCTTTATTGTGAATTAGCATCAAGATATCATAGAAAACATTTAACATTTGGTTTGGGGGGATTGTCTTATTTTGCTTAACATAATATACTCCAGCTTCATCCATTTACCAGTAAATGCCATTTTATTCTCCTTTAAGGCTGAGCCATATTTCATTGTGTGTATATATATATATATATATATATATATATATATATACATTATCTTTATATATATACATTATATATATATTATCTTTATATATATATTATCTTTATATATATATATATTATCTTTATATATATCTTTATATATTTGTATGTTAAAGGACACCTACGTTTGTTCCATAGATTAAGTATAAAGCTCTGCTCAAGTACTTGGTTATATAGAAACTCAGCTTCAGATACCATGCTGATTTGAGAGGGGCACACATGAACAGGCAATTGTAGGATGCCAAATAAAGTAATCATAGAGGTATGAGAAAAATCATTCTTATCAATTTTAAAGGTGAAGCTTCTTTCTTGGCATGGAACTGTCCATTCTCTTGTGCATCGTCAGCCCACATAATATCTCTTTTGAGAAGCCTGTTATTACTTCCACTAGCAAATAAATTGTTCATGGTGTTGGCTTTTGTTTTACATTCGAAACTCACAGGTCATAATCTTAAGTATGCAAAAAGAAAAAAAATGGAATGAAAGAAAAAAATAAAGATGATTTTTTTAACTCAGCTCTCAAATGCTCTTTCTTTTAAATAAGGACGATTTTCATCTGGCCAACTTTGGGAGGCAGACAGTATCTAAGCTTTGTGGTGGGGAGAGGGAATAGCCAAGTATTCTGGGCCTTGTGTTTGGAGTGATGTGAAGAATATCAGGTCCAGGAACACATCCTCTTTGACTGAAGGAGGAATGTTCCTCACCCCATAGTCACTGCAGGTAGAATGAGATGTATGCCCACTGTGTTCAGGACCTGTGTCAAGCATTACACATGAACTATCCAGAAACTTGGCTTTCATGAATTTTAACCTTTGTTGGGGGGAATGAAACATTAAACAGCAAGAAGAAAAAAATCCCACACATATATATTTTGAATTATAAATTTGAATGCGTTTTGTGAAGTAAAAGAATACTTTACTGAAACTTGTAGCAGGATTTGACTCACTTATTTTTTCCTTTCTTAAACTCACTCCTTTTTCAAAATAAAAATAAAAACAGCAGAATCAACAGAACTGAAGAGAAGGGAAGAAAACACGTTGGATGTGCCTAGACTTCTTTCCTCATGTAGGTGATGGATATTGCCTAGAATTGACTTAAGATGTCCACGGGTCTTGTTATCTGAATCACAGGACTTGCTCAGGACTGCCTGCCTCTCTCAGGATTGATATGAAACACACCCCTTCCTCATTATTCTACTTATTTTGTATATTAAAGTCCACAAGTTTCTGCAGTCCAGTCAGAAACCAAGAGGTCCTATGATCATAATTCACAAAAGTAGAATAGGCAGGATCTCAAAGAACACACACCTGCTATGGAAGCTCTGAGCCCTAAAGTCTACAGAGGTTTCTCAACTGAGAGTGCAGAGAGAGAGGTACACCACACCTCCACACACCCCTTACCTCACGAAAAACTAGCTAGTGTTTATTTTTTTACTCTTTAAAGTTTTATTTGGGATTTTTTGATATATATGACAGAAGAGTGTATTTTGACATTATACATACGTGGAGTATATTTTATTCAAATTAGGATACCATTTTGGGGGTTTAAATGATGTGGAATTTTACTGGTCATGCATTCATATATGAACATAGGAAAGTGACGTCCAATTCCTTCTACTTTCTTTTCTAATATTTTGTTGTTGTTGTTGTTGTTGTAAGGACTTCTCCTTAAATAACTGGCACAACCCATCCAACAATTCTATTAGATATGTATGCCTATAATTATCATTTTATGAAAGAGCAACTAAGCCTCAGAAATTTTAACTCACCATATACAGTTACATAGCTAATTATTACCATCAAAAAGCAAGGCCCTGGATCAAAATCTTGTGATTCCATTTTTCCACTGAAACTTCAAGAGACCTTCTAAAAAACCTGGTTGATGTTTCAACCTCACATGGGTTACATATTTCTTTCCACATCTCCCAGAACACTCCCAACACAGTTACAAAATGCTGCAGAACTGCTTGTAAACACAAATCCACAGATGACCTTTTGTTTACTTATTACTAAATGTGAAGTCACTGAATTCTATGAGTCAGCAGACAGTCAGAGGTAAAAGGAGTTCAGCCATTTTGCAATCAGAATCATTCCAATAGTCAGGAAAACAAGAAGGTCAATACCAATAAATCAAAGAGAACTGAGAAAATTAATCAGTGAGGAAAAATGTGCATCGTGGGGTTATGTTACAAAATCCTGAAAAGCCTGTACACTGCCCCTATATGTGGGCCAGTGACTTTTCAACTTGCCTGGTGGGACTGCAGGCTGGCCTTATCCAGGGAATGACCTGCTCACCACCATGCAGATCCCTGTAAAATGGATCTTTTAACATTTCTTACTGATTTTGTTACCCAGTACTTTTTATTTTTTATTTTGAAAGAGAGTCTTGCTAAGTTGCTTAGGACCTCACTAGGATACAGATTAAAACTGACAATCCACTGGCTTATGTAAGCTCTTCTTTTCAACAATTTCACCAAGAGTTTTGGATTGACCATAAAACAGATATTCCTTATAACCCTCAAGGTCAAGTCATTGTAGAATGAGCTCATTTATATATTAAGCTACAATTACAAAACCTAAAAGGGAGATATTGACTATGACTCCCCAACATAACCTCAATAATGCTCTATTTGTTTTAAATTTTCTAAATTATGACTCAGAAGGTCACACTGCACTGAGTGACACATGTCTTCCACAGCAAAAGGACTCACAGACTGATCAATGAAAAAAACAAGACCCAGTGATTATGTGGGGCAGAGGTCATGCTTGTATTTTTCCAGAAGGTGCTTTTTGTCCTATTTGGGTAGATGAACACACCATCAGGCATGGAGGACTTAGAGCCTAGATTCAAATGACTGAAGATCGACCCAGAGAAGCCTTCTCTCGAAAGTTAGAAAACACAATATTGTGTCCATCTACAACTAAAAACAATTAAAAAAAGAACCCGAAAGAAATGATGAAGAGGGACCCTGAGAAACCAAACAAGAAAGCTAATCTCATGGAAGAACCTGAAGAAATTGACACTATGGGTTACAAGAATGATATGACAGCAAGGGAAAGCTAAAACTCCAATGGTGATGC